GGGGAAGGGGGAGGCTCCTCTGGGGCCCGCTCGTCTCAAGCTCCGCTCGTCTGCGCAAGCCTGCCGCCGAGAGTCCCCGCGGCGGCGCTGCTCCAGGGAGGCCGGAGCCCGCAGGCGCGACTCGCCGCGAGAGACCCTTGGAGTCGTCGAGGGCCGGCCTCCCCTGGAGCCTGGGAGGAGCCAGACATGCGGGCCCCAAGGATGCACACCACCACCACCTCGGTTCCTTCTTCCCTCCTCTTCCCTCCTCCTTCCCCTTCCCTCCTCTTCCCTCCTCTTCCCTCCTCTTCACCACCACCACCTTCTCCCTCCTCTCCCCTCCTCCTCCTCTCCATCCTCCCTGGGAGAGGCAGGCTGGGTGCGAGAGGCGGTGGTGGCGTACAGTTTTGGGCGCCGCAAGACAGAGGTGGGCGAGACTCGTGCATCTGCACCCGCGGCGAGTGCGCTGGACGGTTCGGCTACACGCAAGAGTGACCCTGGGTAAGAGGGACTCCCTCTGGTGCGCGGCTTTTTGGGGGCCGCGGGGGGGCCACACAAGACAGCTGGAGGCTACCATCGCATCGCGCTCGGCGATCGGGGGACCCAACTGGGCCCGCAGCAGAGGTCACTCCGGCGAAGGGTCACTCTTACGTCGGGACGAACGGGGATTCCCGGGGTCGGGAATCTGCACCGGCACCCTCGCGTCGTGAAAGGAAGGACGACGGGCGGACTCTGGTCTGGGTGCGGAGGCCGAGCGCTGGGTAAGCTTTTGCGTGGGGCAAGCGCGCCTGGGAAGGCATGCGGCCACTTCAAAGGGGCCCAGGGACACACAACGAAATAGACACAGGTCCCAGGAGTCCCTATACTTTCACATTTTCTCAGGGTTTTCGTCTTTCCCCCTTCTCATATTTTCTTATGTTTTCCTGGGATTCGACGATGCATAGTGTCTGTGTTTTTTTTTCCCCCCTCTTGACACTTGGCCCGCTCTGGAAGCCCCGAGTCAAAATATGCTGACATGTCCTGCGGGCTGGGCCGCAATACTATGTGTTTCTTCCGCCAGCCTCCGCCCGGCCACGTCAAGTGCATCCGGATTGCCGGTCGGGTCTGACGGCCGATGAACGCATAGCCACTCGGTCGCGGCGCAGGCCATCCACCCCGCCGACTCCACGAGGCAGAGGACACGCCATCGAACAATCAGTGGTCCCTGCCCGACGCCCCCGCCGCAGAGCGCAGAGCTGAGAGCGTGGAGCTTCCCTTCGGCTTCGTTGAGCCGGCAAGGCTTCGGGGCTCCGGCTCGGGGTGAAACGGCGCGCCTGCGCCCGAGCGGGCGCCAGGTCGATCTCCGAGCCGCCCGGCCGCCCTCCGCTCGGGCCCTCACTTCTTCGGCTTCGGCCTCTCGGGGGCGGGCGCCACGCCTGCAGCCGCTGCCGCGTCCACCGCCGCGCCCGCCCGCGCCGCGGCAGGCGCGAGCGGGCCCGCGGGCCGTGGGCCCTCGGCCGCGGCCAGCGGCGGCCCCGCCACGCCGGGCGGCGGGCCGCGCTGGGCGCCGGGGGGCCGCCCGAGTCCGCGCCCGGGCGCGGTCAACCTGCCTCGCGGCCGCCCTCGACCGGGGGGACCGGGGCGAGGCAGGCGCCCGCCGCCCCGCGGCCCGCTCGGCGGCCACCATGCCCTGCCGACGGCGGCGACCGCCGCGTCGGCCCGGGGCTGGCCGCCCGCCGGCGGCGGCGCGGCCCTGCGCGCGCCTGCGGCGGCGAGGCTGCCCCTCTGGCACGGGCCGGGCTCGCCGGGGCGCCGGCGCACGCCCTTGACGGCGCCCCCGGAGAGGAGCTGCCCCAGGGCGCGCAGGTCGCCGGGCATCGCGCCCGGGGGGGCGGGCTGGCTGGCCCGCCGCTCCTGGCGAGCGGGGGGCGGAATCTGCATGCACGGCGCCCGTGGGCCGCGACCGCGTGGACACGAAGCGTGCTCTCGCGGATGCCCCCTCCGCGCGGAACGTGCCCGTGCGACCGCAGAAACACGTGGGATCGCGCCCTGGAAACCCCGACCGCGAGGGCGTGCACCTGGATGCAGCCGGACCTGAGACCAGAGGAGCACCCTGCAAGAACATGCGACTCTACAGAACGTCCAACGAGCACGAAGCACACCAGGGCACCCTCCCCGGACCGACCTCGACCTCCTGCCTCGGTCCGACTGCCTCTTCGCCTCCCGTGGTCTCCCGGGGCTGCTGCCCCGGCTCCCTGAGGGGCCGGGGCTGCTGCGCCCGGCCCTGGGGCTCCGCCCCCAGCTCGTCGCTCAGCCGGCGCTCCGCCCTCCCGGGGGCGGGCTGGCCGAGCGCCGCCGTGCCGGCGCCCGTGCCGCCGGGCGCCGGCGGAGGCCCTGCCTCGTCCCCGCCCGCCTCCTCGGCGGCCTCTGCCCGGTGCGTGCAGGCCTGGACCTCCGCCTGCTGCAGCCGGTGCTCCAGCAGCTCGGCCCTGCGCTGGCTCTCCTCCAGGCGCGCCTCGAGCTCCCGGGCCTCGGCCCGCCGCTTCCAGGCGCGGGCGCCGAGCTCCTCGCAGCGGAGCTCCGAGGCGCGCAGGTCCTCCTGGGCCCTCTCCAGCTCCTGCTCGGCGGCCGTCAGCTTGCGCCGCAGCAGCACACGCTGCTCTGCGGCCTCGCTGTCCCCCTCGGAGCGCGCGTCCGCGATCCTCAAGATTTGCTTGTATACCACACCCTCCCCGCCCCAGTCAGACTCCACCGCCCGGGGCCACCTTCAGTATAGTTTCGAAAGCCATGCCCCAGTGAGGGAATTTGGTATACCAGACCCACGACGAGGACCCTTTCTTTTGGTAGGTGGATCTCTCAGGCTCTCCGCCGTCTCTGGCGGTGTGAACTGCGAGCAGGAACCAGACCCACGACGAGGACCCTCGCTCGGCCCCACAGGGCTTTTGGGTATAGTCTGCAATTCGTTTCGGGCGGGCGCGATCCTGCGCTCGGCCTCTGCCCTCGCGGCGCTTTCGCGCTGGAGCATCGCCTCCAGCTGGCCCACCTTCCGCGCCTGCTGCCCGAGGTCGTGCTCCAGCTGCTCCCCGCGCAGACGCGCGTCCGCGAGCTCCGCCTCCCTCTCGCGAGAGACAGTTTGTTCATGCGAGCCCCTTCCTCTCCTCCTCCTCCTTCCTCCATCCTCCTCCTCCTCCTGCTTCTCCTCCTCCTCCTCCTCCTCCTCCTCTCGCCTCCTCCTCTTCGTCTCCTGCATCATCTCCACCTCCCCTCCTCCTCCTCCTCCTCCTCCTCCTCCTCTCCTCCTCCTCCTTCTTCCTCCTCCTCCTCCTTCTTGTTTCCTTCCTCCTCCTCTCCTTCCTCCTCTCCTCCTCCTCCCTCTCCTCCTCCCTTCTCCCTGTCCCTGCTCCCCCCTCCTCCTCCTCCCCTCCTCCTCCTCCTCCTCCTCCTCCGCCTCCTCCTCCGCCTCCTCATCCTCCTCCTCCTCGCCTCCCTGGAGCCTGCTTCCACCTCTTTCCTCTTCCTTCCTCCCTCCTCCTCCTCCCCCTCCTCCTCCTCCTTCTCCTCCTCATCGCCTTCTCCTCCTCCTCCTCCTTCTCCATCCTCCTTCCTTCTCCTCCTCCTCCTCCGCTTCTCCCCCTCCCTGGAGACTCCTCCTCCTCCTCCTCCTCCCTACTCTGCTCCTGTTCCTGACATGCCCCTCCTCCCCTTTCTCATCCTCCTCCTCCCTCCTCCTCCTCCTCCTCCTCCTCCTCCTCCTCCTCCTCCTCCTCCTCCGTCTCCTTGTCCACCGCCCCTAGCCAAGCCCCCCTTCCAGGGCCCAGGAGCGATGCACACGCTGCCCTGGCTTGGCCAGGGATCCACGGCACCTATAGCCCAGGATGGGCCTGGCTGGGACCAGTGGCCACGTGCACAGTTCTCGCAGCCCGCGCACCTGCGGGCCTCCGCCAGCTTCGACATGGTGCCCTCCAGCAGCTCGTGCGCGCGCTCGCCCTGCCCCGCCTCTCGTGGGCGGAACACGTGTCCGCATCCACGGCCTCGCGGGCCGGGCCCCTGGGCCGCGACCCCATGGATGCAAGGCGTCTTTGTTCGCGGGTGCCCCTCGCGGAACTTAGCCATGCGACCGCGTGTCAGCGGGATCGTGCCCCGGGAATCCAGACCGCGAAGGCGTGGATGTGGATTCGTGGTCGCCGTCCGCGAGCCTCGGCCTCCGCGGCCAGGCGCGCCGCCTCCTCCCGCGAGGCCCGGTCGGAAGCGACGCGCGCTTCGGCGCGGGCGGCCGCCAGCTCCCCCGCGAGGCGCTCCAGGTCGCGGCCGCGGATGCGGGCGAGCTGCCACGCCTTGCGCAGCACGCCCGTGAGCTCCTCCACGAACGCGGGCAGCTGCCGAAGCGCGCGCTCCTCCTCCGCGGGGGAGGAGCCCTCCACGATGGGCGCCACGATGCGACACATCACCGAGCGCTGGACCTCGCCGATGCCGTCGTCCTCCTCCTCCTGCGGCGTGTCGGGGAACTCGCTCTCCGGCTCGTCCAGGCCCAGAAGCGCCTCCCGGGCCCCCATCCTTCCCCCCGCGCCGAGGTCCCCGCTCGAGGTCCCTGCAAGAGCCCCGGACACGCAAAGCCTCAATCAACCGACCCTTCGGCGCATGTGAGACGCTGCCGTCGTCTTTTAGACTCGAACGCAGAAACGAAACGTCGTCAGAATACCGCGCGCGAGGCTCTGGAAGGCAGTGCGTGCACTTTGGGAGAGGAAGAGAACGGCCCGCCTGGCACGCAACCTCCTCACAGCGAGCCAGACGATGTCGTCTAGACCGTCTAACTGTTGCCCCTGTTCGCCCAGCCCGCCGACGTCCTTGCGGCCTTGCGCTTGAAGATTGGAGATTGGAGCTGAAGGCTGACTTCAAAAAATCAGAAATAACAATCGCACCAGCAGGCCCTCCAGGATCCAGGACCCAGGACCCCAATGGCCCAATGGGGTTTGTCAGGCTGATGTTGTCGTCATCTGAGCTGCTGCCGCTCAAAGACTCTTTTGTTGGCGCTCATTGCGAAGCTGTCAGATGTCATGAGTGTCCCTGGGTCCCAGACCCCAGACCCAGAGTCTCACAGAGTCGAGGGGCGCCGACCGAGAAGCCACCCCCAAAGCCCTCCCCCCGGCCCCCCCCCCACCCAGGGGGCCCCAGAGTCTGGGCCCATGGCCCTCGCCGCCAGGCCCTGGCCCGAGTGGACTCTGAGTAGACTGTCACTAGGTGCTAAACTTCCCAACAGATGCCAAAGACGCCGCCCCCGGGGTCCGGGCGGGCCCCGGGTGGAGCGCCAGCGGGGTTCCCCGGGGAGGTGCCGCCTTCGGGGTCGGCGGTACAGGCCGTAAGGCCTTAAGAATTCACAGTCCCAGGCCCCCGACGTCGTGCTCGTCGTCGCAGCGCGGCGGGCCCAGGGAGGTCCCGAGCCGCTTTCCAGTGGGCAAGCTTCTCATCCTGGGCCATCCTGTCGACGGTCCTGGGGCCCAGCCGGGGCCCCGGCAGGACTTTTTGGTCGCGGCGCAGGGCGGACGCTCTCTCTGCGAGGTTGGGGGGGCGGACCGGGCCGCGGAATCGCGCAGTTGGCTTCAGGCGGAAGCGCAGAGAGGACGACGGCCGCGGAGCAAGAAGAGGGGCAGGGACGCGCGCGCGCAAGGGGCCCCCGTGAGCAGAACGATGAAACAACTCACGTCCTGAGTTTGCTCACAGAGCGAGGCGGGCCCTGGACTCTCGGTCCCCTCGGATGCTCGTTCTGGGGGCCCTTCCCGCCGCCACCCGCTCCACTCCTGCGCCGGTGCTGCGTCGAACGTCCGTCGACCTGCAGCGACCTGGAGTCGACCTCGGGTCGAGCTGGAGTCGGACTGGGCTCTAGCGTTAGTCGACCAGATCCGCTGGGCGGTCCCGAGGAGGGCACCCCAGACGAGCATCCGAACCCTCGATCCCTCGGCAGCAGACCAGCAGACCGGAGGCCTCCCGTGCGCGCAGTCCGCTGTCCACGGCATCCTGCAACCTCTGGAGCTCCACCGTGCGCCAGCCGCAGCTTGCCTTTCCGGAAGGCGACGTGGGGGAGCTGGCCTGCATCAAGCGACGCCGACGACGGCGGCGGCGGCACAGACGACGACGACGACGACGACGACGACGACGACGACGACGACGACGACGACGACGGCACCGACGACGACGACGACGACGGCAAGGAAGACGACGACGACGACGAAGACGACGACGACGAGGACGGCGATGATGATCACGGCAGCGGTAACGGCAACGGCAACGCCGAGGGCGGCGACGAACGGACGCAGCCTGTCTGCCCGGCGGGCGTCGCTGGCGGTGCGCTCGGGCTCGACGACGGCGACGGCGACAACGAAGACGAGGACGGCAGCGACGACGACCGTGGTTCTGCTTCAAGATGCCCTTGGCGATGGTTTACCGTTTTCTTTCTTAATCGGCGTGCTGGACATTTGTTTGAGGGCTGGCAGGTGCCCACAGGAAGACCAAGCACGCTAAAAGCAATGCTTGCTTTTGCCTCCGCGCGACTTCTCTGCGTCCGAAAACTCATTGATTGCCGTGCCCGCCACCGTGCCCCCTGGCACGAGTCGGGGACGGCGAGAAGGTCTGGCTCAAGAAGGGTGACCCCGACGGCTGCTGGGGCGCCTCAGGTCGTTCTGGAGTGCCTGGGGTCGGGCTGGGGGGACCTCGAGTCCAGCGAAACCAACCTTGTCCGACGAGCCCTTCTGGCAGCCTCCGAACGTTGAGGCGTGCTAGAGCGCCAAGTGCTCTCCGGCGGGGCTTCTGCACTCTTCTGTGGGGCCCCCCCGCCCCTCCGGGCCGCACCTCCTCGCGCGCGCCGGCCATACTCTCGGGGGGGGGTCCAGGGGCCCCTTCGGCGCCCTCCTGGGGCCTTCCAAGGCTTCCATGACGGCCCGGGAGGCCCCCAAGACGGTCCAAGAAGGCCAGGGGTCGCCGAACGATCGCTCGAACACGCCCAAGATGGCTTCAAGATGGCGCAAGTGACTTCCAAGGCGTCCTAAGAGGCCTCCCAAGAGGCCTCCCAAGAGGGGCCTCAAAGGCGAAGGTCATTGATTTTCCTTGCGTTCTGGAAGGACTTGGGCGTTCTCGCATTTTCGGCTTTCCGACGCTCCAAGACGGCCCAAGAGACCCCCAGGACCAACCCCAAAACGGCCTAAGAGGGCCCCCAGACGGCCTACGAGGGCCCGAAGACGGCCTCAAAGGCGCCTAAGACGGGCCCAGAGGGCTCCAATACGGCTCCAAAAAGGGCCCCAGAGAACACGAACGGAAAATCCGAGCCTTCCGCCCTAAGGGGCCCCAAGAGGCGCCTAAGAGGCGCCCAAGAGGCGCCCAAGAGGCCCCCAAGAGGCCCCAAGAGGCCCCAAAGAGGCTCCTCAGAGGCCCCACAACGGCCCCCAGGAAGCATCGAAACTGCCTCCAAGAGGTCCCCGAGAGGCCTCCCACGATACTCCAACAACAACAAACGCCATCATCATCATCATCATCATCATCATCATCATCATCATCATCATCATCAGCAGCAGCAGCAGCAGCAGCAACATCATCATCATCATCATAATCATCATCATCATCATCATCATCATAATCATCATCATCATCATCATCATCATCATCATCATCATCATCATCGTCATCGTCATCGTCATCGTCATCGTCCTCATCCTCATCATCATCATCATCATCATCATCATCACCGCGACCAGCAGTAGCATAATCATCATGATCATCACCATCATCATCAGCAGCAGCATCAGCATCGTCATCATCAGCATCACCATCACCATCACCATCTCAATCAGCATCATCATCACCACAATCACCATCATCATCATCATCATCATCATCATCGTCATCATCATCATCAGCATTAGCATCATCATCATCAACAACATCATCATCTTCATCACCCCTACCAACACTACCACAACCATCAGAACCAGTAGCATCATCAGCATGATCATGAGGATGACCATGATCATCAGCATCGCCAGCATCAGTATCATCAGCATCAGCATCGCCATCATCACCAGCATCAGCATCAGCAGCAACTACAGTTCATTATATCATCATCAACAACACCAGCATAATCACCATCATACTGGCCACAACTGTCGTCTGTTCACCATCATCATCATCATCATCATCATCATCATCATCATCATCATCATCACCATGATCACCTTCATCATCGTCACCATCGTCGTAATCATCGTCACCACCACTATCATAATCGTGATCACCGCTATCATCCTTAACAAAAGCATTATCACTATACTTATCATCATCAGCAGCATCATCGTCGTCGTTACCATAATGCTCATCCCTCACAAGTCTGGTCTCCAGTGCCCCTCGAAGCAGAGCCGCCGAGCATGCTGGGCTGGAACGGTGGCGGGACTTGCCAGAGGTAGCTGGAGTTAAGATTGACGTCTCCGACGTTCTCAACATTGGGTTTAGTACTGCCTCTACTGCGATTAACATTATGATCATTCCTTGTACTCTTCTCTGGTCGTCGCTGCTGGCTGGTCGCGGGGCCTCTGGGTCTGATTCGCGCCAGTGTGAAACCAGTACCCGGGAGTTGTTGTTTGAGTTTCTTGTTGTGCGCTCCTCGCACGGAGGGGGGGGGAACGGCAGGCAGCAGGATCGGGAGAGCGGGAGCGAAGATGGCAGCGAAGACAAAACAAACCGTTTCAAACATTGATCCACAACGACGGACCTGAAAACGCTAAAACAGCGCCCCTGCAATGGCTAGCAAAAACGTAGCGTTTTGGTTGCCGCCTTTCGCATGTCCAGAGCCCAGGGTACAGATCGGTGAAAAAAGCCCAGGGCGCTTGTAGGAAGAACCAAGACGACGGCGAAGAGGGCGACGACGACGACCGCGATGGCGACAACGACGACCACGGCGACAGCTCAAAAGAAAACACCACGTAAACCTAAGCGTTTAGCGCTGCGCGCAGATTTCCTGGATTCGCGCTGGACCCCCGGAGCGCGCCAGGGGCGGCGCCGAGGGCGCCGCGGGGGAGCGCCAGAAGTTTATGTTTATGCGGATGTTTTCTTCTTCGAACAGCGACAGCGACGACGAACGGCCGCACGCCGGGCCTTCCCTGCAGGCGACGTCGGCGCGCTCGGGCTCGGCGGCCAGGACTGCGACCTCCGCGGAGGGGGCGAGCCGCCGTCCTCCGGGCCGCCGCCCGCGAGGAACGCGCCCAACAGCACCTCGGAGGGCACGGGGGCCAGTTCGACGGCACGGTTCGGGGATGGACAGACCCCCCTTTAGTAAAACGTGGTTTAGTGAAAACGACCTGAAGCCCAAACCTGGCGGGCGCAAGCCTGGAAAATAACGGCTGCGGCGCCCTCTCGAGAACCGAAAACGGACAATTCACTAATCGACGTGTCACTGTTGGGGGTTCTGTCCACCCCCGAACAGTATGGGGCGCACAGAGACATACTGATACCAGATGTCCTCCTTGGGGGCGCGCGTCCGACCCGAACATATAGCAGATCCATTGTGCAGAATATCCTTTCCCGAGCGGCGTGGTCAGAAGGCGCCCGCCACGACGCATAGGCTACAGGAGTTCTCGGAGCGCGCGTCGCCCCTGAGGGGGCGACGCTCCTTGCGGGCCGGGAAAATGGCCACAGCCACTGCTTCTGGTCTGCGCCGCCTTCCAGCCGGCCGAAAAAGAAACAGTGGTTGTGGTCATTTCCCTGGTGCCAAAGCTTAACGAAAATGACCACAGCCACTTCTTTGTTTCTGGTCGCTGGAAGGCGGCAACAAAAGGAAAGCAGTGGCTGTGGTCGTTTTCACGCCCCGCACTCGTGTAGTATAATTATGTTGGAGTGACGCCGATGGTAACGAATGCCCAGACGGATCTACAAAGGACTCACTTCGAATGCCGCTTGTTTGAAATTCCGCTCAGCTCCAATTCCCCCCTGCGAGTTGCAAATGGAAAAGGTGCTTACGACCTGCTCGCTTGCTTGCTAGGTCGTTCTCGTGCGAGCTATATCATATGGTGCGCGAACCTGAAGCCGGGAACGCTCTGTGAGGATCGAGCGTCGAACGTGAACATCGACGCTTTTAGGGCCTCCCGGAAGCTTCTCGTCGCAACGGCTAGCCTCGAAATCTTGACAAGAACGCACCCCGGCAGAAATCTGGGGTTCGATTTTTGGACGCCCGAAATGGGTACGGAAAAAATGGGCACAATGCCCAACAACAAATGCTGTCCCAAACCAACAGCGGCCGCTGCTGGGCGTGCGGCCTCCTGTCTCACATGGACACGGGCCGCGGCGGCGCGAACCGCGAGTCCTGTTCGACATGGACAGGGGCTGCTGTTGGGCATTGTACCCGTTCTTGCTGTATCCATTTTTCGTTCGTGCCGACGATGGTCGGCCCCTGGTGCCCAGACCTCCAACGCACTGAGCTAAAGGGGCCCCAGGACACACAAATAAATACACACAAATAAAAAGATTCCCAATCTTTTCCCATATTTTCTGGATTTTTGTCTTCCCCCCCACCTCCCATATTTTCCCATATTTTCTGGGGAATCGCCGATTAATGGTGTCTGTGTGTTTCTTTCCCTCCTGATGAGCAACATCACGAAGGAAACTCTGCACATCTCTCTGCCTCTAGGAGCCCTCGCCTGGCCCCCCCAGACCGCCAGCAGAAGGCTCAAGACGAACAAACTCCTCCTCCTCCTCCTCTTCTTCATCCTCCTCCTCCCCCTCCTCCTCCTCCTCCTCCTCCTCCTCCAGGGTCGGAACTCCCGCGGACCGCGCAGTGAAGAAATCAGTGCCTCGGATCTCTGGTGCTTGTGGTCGCTCATGCCCAGATCTGCGACGGTATGCCTTTGTTTCCATCCCGGCGCGGCACCTTCTGAACGGCTTGTGCGCAAGCGGGCCACGAGAAGGGAAAAGAAACTACTACCATTCCTCGTTGTGCATTGCCCTGGCCGTCAAACGAGCTTCCAAACGAGTCTGGCAAGTAGGAAGTGTTTTTACTTAAACACTTTCGGTCTTTACTTTGGCATAGGTCTTTTCTTTTTCTTTCATGGTTTAGGCACACTGGTCGCTCGAACCATGTAGTCTGACAAGGCCGCGCGATGGAACAAACAAACTAGAAGATTGCTGCGTGTCTGGGTGATGCGCTCCGAGGGGCGCTTTCGCGCCCTCTCGGCACGGGGGGCACCCTCGGCAGGCGTTGGCGTATAGCCCCCGATGCCCGCCTAGACTTGGCTTTGGGGCCGGGACGGGATCGCCTCTTTCCCCCGGAGGGTTGGGAGGTCAGCAAAAAGCCCGGAGATCACCACAGAGGGCTTCGGAGGTCCCTGCAGGTCCCCAGCCTCCCGAGGCACCTGGAATGTCGGAGGCCTCCGGGCTCGAAAGCCTCAAGCTGTGCCGTGGAGTTGGCGATGAAGGGGCCTCCAGGGGCCGTTGGAGGCCCCCAGAGTGCCAACATCGCTGCAAAAACCCATGCCCTCCGTTTGCGATCTCTTCGCAACTTAAGCCTCCGAGTAGTTGTGCTGTTGTTGTTGCTGCTGCTGTTGGTGTTGGTGTTGGTGTTGTTGTTGTTGCTGCTGCTGCTGCTGTTGTTGTTGTTATTGTTGTTGTTGTTGTTGCTGTTGTTGTTGTTGATGGTGTTGTTGTTGGTGTTGTTGTTGTTGAACTCTCATTTCTGAACAATGATCATTGTTGACCCCCCCCGTCCGATGCACATTGTTTTCTTTCGATTGAAGTGTCCTTCCCGGGGCTCGCACCTTGTTTTTTTTTATCAAGGAAAGTCTTGAAGGTCAAACTGCGTTGTTGGCCCCCGGTGTACAACAACAACGGCTCCCGCCTGATACTTCCTCACAATGTATTGAAGAATCGCGCTCTCGCTTAGAACTTCCTTGCAATTTACCACCGGATCGCGGCTCCCGCTTGATACTTTCTCGCAATTTATTGAAGAATCGCGCTCTCGCTTGGGACTTCCTCGCAACTTACCACCGAATCGCGGCTCCCGCCTGATATTTCCTTACAGTTTATTCAGATGCCGGTCCTCGACACTCAGGAATCGCGTTCCCGCTACATATTGCCAGGCGGTTCAAGCAGAATTTACGCTTCAACGATCCGCCCGCTCGACCCGCCCGTCTGGGCCTGCTCGCCCGACCAGCCCGTTAGGGACTGCAGTCGCCGCTCGCTGCCCTTCGCCCGCCTTCGATGCCCCTCGCTGCCCGTACTGGTTCCACGGTCGCCTTCACTCGCTGCCCTTCGTGGCCCCGTTGCTGCCCTCAGTGGCCCCGTCGCTGCCCATTGTGGCCCCGCATTATATGCCCTTCGTGGCCCCCGCTCGCAGTCGCCCGTCGTGGCCCCATACGCATGCCCTTCGTGGCCCCGCTGTCGCCCTTCGTGGCCCTCTCGCTGCCCTTCGTGGCCCCTTTGCTTCCCTCAGTGGCCCCGCTGTCGCCCTTTGTGGCCCCATATACGAATGCCCTTCGTGGCCCCCGCTCGTTCGCGCCCGTCGTGGCCCCATATGCATGCCCTTCATGGCCCCGCTGTCGCCCTTCGTGGCCCCCTCTCTGCCCTTCGTGGCCCCGTTTCTGTCCTCAGCGGCCCCGTCGCTGCCCTCTGTGGCCCCGGATGTTATGCCATTCGTGGCCCACGCTGGCTTTTCTCACGATTTACTCGGGAATCGCCCTATCGCTCGAGACTTCCTCGCGATTCATGTAGGACCCACGCTTCAGCAACCCGCCTGCTCGACCTCGTCGCCTGGGCCCGCCTTCCCGACCTGCCCGCTATGGGTCTGCCCACCCGATCTGCCCGTCTGGTTCTACCACTTGTTTTCTGCTCCTTGCCCCCCTCCTGCTAATTTGTCTCGTGCTCCATGCTTCTCCCTCCCCCGTCCACCCGTCCTCTCTTCCCTTATTTTAGGGGCTGCACTAAATACACGTGGCAGGTAAGGAAGATATACCCCCAAGGGGGTACGATCGAAGACGACGAGGGCGGGCACCGAGGCTTTGGGATACATGTATTGATTGGCACGTGAGCAGGTAGAAGCGAACAGTCTCAAAATGATTGTTGTTGTTGTTGACGGCCCTGGGGTTAAGTTGGGCGTGTCCCCCTACAGGGGGATTTTCGAGGAAACAAATATTTTCGAATAAAAGATCAAAAAATAACTCCCAGACTATTTTTGACTATTTTTGAATATTCCCCCTGTAGAGGGACAGGCCCGACATAACCCTGGGGCCTGGAACCCACAGCTCCAACCTCACAGGATGAAGCGCCAGCCCTGGGGAAAGGGTCGGCACTCCTGGGGACCCCGAGATAGAAAAACCACGGCACCGGACCTCGGGGGACAGGCACCCAGGGTCCGAAAATGGCAGCAACCAGCAGAACCATCTCATTGCGACGCTTCACGACGCGAGGGGCTGGGGAGTCGTCAACAAGCTTCGATCCTCCTCAGGCCCTCTGGCCCCAAGGTGGCAAAAGGGGGTCGCCTTCTGAGAAGGCGGAGGGCTTCGTAGACGGCAGGGGCGTTCGTTCTCTGAGTGGCCCAGAGGCTGCCGAGAAGCCCCCTGGCCTCCCGAGAAGCCCTCCGCACTCCTGGACGGCCGCCCCCCTCGCCCGACCCTCTTGTGCGCCCCACCGATGGGGAACTCGATCTTGCTCTTGGCACTCACGATGCGGTGTTAATTGGGTCGGGCATGTCCTCCTACAGGCGGATTCTGTAAGACGAAAACAGTTATCATAACATAATCAAAACATAGCCAACAGAGCACGAGCTTAGCTGGCCCGACACGCAAAGCGCAACACATAGCGTACTAATACGGAGCTCAACATGTATCCTGAAAGCGTGGGCCTGACGCGATACGTTCGCCAAAACATGAGCCAATACGCTCAGCCAACACGCAGCGTATTGTAACGGACGTCTTGAGCACGGCACGTGTTGCGTATCGAAACGTGCGTATCGAGACAGCTAAGAGCACGAGAAAATCGTGACAACCTTCTGTTTTCACTGGTCTTGGATATTCCCCCTTGACAGGGACATGCCCGACATAGATATGGTGACGGAAAACGTGGGGACGATGCCCAACAGCAATTGCTGTCCAACACCGACTGCGGCCGCTGCTGGGCAGGCGAAACTCGTCTCATAGCGACAACGCTCCCGGCGACACCGACACCTAGCCCTTGCTCGAAACTGGACAAGAATTGCTGTCGGTCTTCATGCGCCGCCAGAATATGACCATATCCACTGCTGCCGGGTCGTGTTCCGAGGGCTCGGAGAGAGGCGGATATGGATATCCGCCCGCCCACGCGGGCGGACAGACATCCACACCCACCGCTCCTCGAGATCTCAGGGCACGACTCCGAAGCAGTGGATGTGGACAGATTCCGGCGGTGGACTTCGTCCCCATTTCGATCGTACCGATCCTCAGTCTCTCGGCGGCGCCTCCGACACCGACAGCAAGTCCTGGCCAACATCATAGATGGGCAGGAGCTGCTGTTGGTCTTCCGGGCGCACGCCAACATGGATCGAGGAAGGCACCGCCGAAACATGGCGCCGGTGCCGCCCGATCTGGTGGCGCAGCGCGCCGATTCCGCGTGGAAGCGGGACCCGTCGCGAATCCACGCGCCGCAATCCGTTTGTGCTTCCTCGCACCGCCCTTCGCCCCACCCAATCGCCCAAACCCCTCGCCCCACCTTCCGAAGGCCGGCCCCCTTCGCCCCACCCCCCCGCGCGCGCCCAGACATCCGACGCCGCGATCATCACCTTCCCAACGCGGTTCCCCGCGAGGTCTGGGCATCCCTCCCAGAGGCCAGAGCGATTCTGCTGACGGACCCCGGGCCCGCTGGCGCCGAGAACTGCCCGAAGCCCCCGCCGTGCTTCCTTGCGCGAGGCGGGGCCTGGCGCGCGGGGCATGACTCGGGCCTCCAGTGTGGCCGCTCGCGGAGCGATCCGGGCACGCCCGCCGGCATGCTCACGCCCACGGCGCAGCTCCCGGAGAGGATCCCGAGGCTGGGGCATCTTCCGGCGCCAAGGGGAGGAGGAGGAGGAGGAGGAGGAGGAGGAGGAGGAGGAGGAGGAAAAGGAGGACGACGAGGACGAGGAGGAG